TTTTATTAATATTTTGATTGTTCAATTTCATTTTAGTTCGTTTTAGTCATTTTTTTGTCATTTTTTTTAATGTCTACATAGATATAGAGATATATATTTTGAATTAGTTTTATATATTTTTAACTTTCATTTTACTTTTAGGTGAAGTTTCAGCAGTTTGTTGTGTTTTTGTCATTTTCATGATTATTACAGATTTTTTAAATTAATTTTCATTTTAGTTAATGTTTTAGTAATTTTGTTATGTGTTTTTGTCAATTTGGTTATACAGTATTATTATACAGTACATGCAGTTATTAATGTTTTGAATCTTTATTTTTATATTTTCCATTAAATTTTCATTTTAAAATTTGGTAGTTTTGTTGTTTTTGTCATTTTATTAGCTGTTGGTTTTTATATCTATACAGTTTTTACTAATATTTTGAATATTTTTTTCTTTTTAATTTAACATTTTAGTCATTTTGTTGTGTGTTGTTGTCAGTCTAAATATAGCTTTTTAAATAATATTTTGAATGAGTTTTTTATATGTTCTGTTCATGTTAATTTTAGTGGAATTGCTGTTAATGGTTTTAGTTTGAGTTAACTCTGCATCAAACCTCCTCTGATCTCAGTAGAGCTCACCTGCGGCCTGAGATCTTTCACAGAAGCGTGTCTTCGTCCGATCACGCAGCAGGTTGTTGTGAACGAGGGTGTGTCCTCGTGTCCAAAGAGCTCCTCGATGGCTCTGATGTCGATGTGGAACGGATCTCTGCTGCTCCACAGGTTCGGCCCCTTCTGCTGCTTGACACGATCTTCAGGAATCGGTTTCCAGTAGAAGCTCCTCACCCTCCTCTTCCTCTCCGCAGGGTTTCTCACAGGAAGGGGCGGGGGAAGGGGAGGAGCCAGAGGTGGGATGCTTTGAGGGGCGTGGTCATATAATGAGGGAGGAGATGCAACAACCCCACCCTCTTTCTCAAAACTGCTGCTCATAGTAGAAGGGGATGTGGGCGGGGTCAGAAGATGATTGACAGCTTGTACACCAACATGAAGATCCAGTGAGCTCAAACAACAAACAGAAGCTTCTGTAATATGAGAAAAACTTTTTTTTTCTAAATGAATACAATGCATAAGAGTATCTTCTAAATGCATCAAACAGACTCATTCCACTGGCTGATCCAGAATTTGGCTGTTTAAACACCTTCAGTTCAGGGATGTTTCTATGTTCTTTCAGAAACGAGAAGAATATCCCATGTGCAAACGCTCAGGTGTCATTAAACGACATAATGAACCCGCTGGCATCATTCACACACAATCAAACACACTTCAGTGCAGACACAAACCCAAACATAACACAAATATGCTCCTATCAAGGTAAAAATGTGTTATTTCTGAATGTTCTCTAAACATTCATAAAATGTATTTAAAAAATGTTCTACTTTTCTTTTTTCTTGGCTATTGTCAAGGGAACATTCCATTTGATTATTTTGCAAACATTATGGGAACGTTACTTTTGAATGTTCTGAAACAAATTGTAACATTCCAAAAAGTTACTTGAACATCCAACTACAACATTTCAGGAACAAAAAACATCCCATGAATGATGTGTAAATACACGTTTTTGTGCTAATGATTTGAAAGCATTATTAAATACCAGAGATGTTTGAAAGAATGTTCTATTAATGTTACTGGAAGAACATCTGTTCATAAATGTGATAAAAACTTGCCAGATTGTTCGCTGTTAGCTGGAAACACACAGAGACTCTCTCTGGACCGAATGAATGCCAAATTCATCATAGTTTCATTGTTTTCTCTAATCCATAGAATGATTGTCCTGAATGATGCATGAGCAGTCACATAAGGAAGAGCAATGAACATTTATGTGCTGAAAATACTTTCAATCATTCATAAATGTAATAAATTACAAGTGTTATAAACTAAACTAAACCAACCTTTTCACAGACAACTTTTGGGATATTCAGAGTTTAATTCATATATTTAGTCACATATCTTCACATACTGTGAAGTATGGTGATATCTGTTAGTTAAGTTTTTTCTTATCAGACAAGTGAACCAACAACTAACCAGTAAACACAACTAAACAGCTGAACCCTGAAGATAACGCGCCTCTGTCTTTGTATTCGCTTCTGTTACACACTATTAATATTTAATCTATTAGTCCCTCATGAAAATGATAATACATAACACAGTGTAATATATTAACACACTGTTCAGTGAGGAAGAAAATAAACTCACCTTTGTGTTAAAGATGTTCTGAAGACTGCTTCATTCACAGCACGATCCAAACGCTCCTGTGACAGAAATCATCTGAATTATGAAAGGATATCATATTTTCATAACTATACGATGAATGATATTACATTAGGCTACCTGTATTCCATTAAAATCCGAGGCGTGTGAAGGATCTGTGAATCCGGCGAGTCTGACAGGAGCTCTTATATTTTATATGAATACAGAATCATCTACTGCAGAGTTGTAGACATCCACAAGAGAGTGAGAGAGAGAGTGTGTGTGTGTGTGTGTGTGTGTGCGCGTGTGTGTGTGTGGGTGTGTGTGTGCGCG